CCTTGAATTCCTTGGATTGGACCAAACTAATCAAGCCCGCGATAGCGTCGTCGAGCTCTTTGGAAGTTAGCACGAGGCCAGCGGCGAAATCGGTCCGATCTTCGTAGGAAGCTCGCCTCGCCCGCAGGCACCGCAGCCAACGACGGCACCAAGCTGTCGTCCGCAACAAACTCGTCAAAGACGAGTGCCTCGTCAGCAACTCGGATTCCTCGTAGCCCTCCGCCGCGGTCGCCGTGGCATGTACACGAGAGCGCCACTCCGGGAGGTCAGCAGGTATAGCGTCGTCCGAGGAAGCCGTCCACGGGCCGGTCTCAGATCGGAGCCAAGCAAGATCCCGCTACCAGAGAAAGAGTGGTTCACAAGTTCCCTTGGTAAGAGTCTCTGGGAAGCGCAGTCAGCGGGGTTTTCCCGCCCGGGCACGTGGTGCCAACACGCCTCAAGAAGAGTGAGCTGGATCTCGCTCACTCTATTCGCCACGTAGGTTTTCCAGGAGACCGGGTGGCCTCGAATCCAGCCCAGTACTATGGTCGCGTCCGTTCACAGGTGAGATGGATCCTCTTTGGCCTTGAGGACCCGCCGAGTGTGATCGACGAGTCGAACAAGTAAAGCGGCAAGCGTTCAGCTCCAGTCGTGCAAGGCTAACCTGTTTCAAGGGGGCGACCTTGGTTTTCGCCGCCACGAGCCTCACGTCTACCTCCCCGTTCGGGCTCTAGGTCCGTAGGTAAACGACCGCCGCGTACACCTTTTCCGAGGCGTCGGCGAAACCGTGGATACGAAACCGTCGCGCTTGACATCCGCTTGGTCACTCTTCAGCTATCGAGGTACTCGGATAGCCTCCAACAAAGGCAGCTCGGCTTGGAATTTGAGCCATCGTCGGTATCAGGGAGCGGCGTGTCCCAGTCCACGCCCAACAGCCAGGTGGACTAAAATAGAATTTTAGCCAACACGGTAGTAGGGGCGAGCTACCCCAGCCAAAGACAAAACCGATCGCTTCGTAATTGGGAACGGGCATGATGACGTCAGCTAGCCAATATGGCGACCATAGTACGGATCGTAAACACGCGAGACATATGTATGCTCACGAAATTTTGTTGATAAAATTGCAAAAATACGTAAAACGTGTATAAAAGTACCGTCACTATTCTCACGGAGTGTCTGAATGTATTAGTGTAGACTGTAAAAAAATTGTTGGGACAAAATGAAAGTGATTTCTTCAAAAAGGAAAGTTTCTAACCACGAATACTGTTGTGTGTACGGCTGTAAATCTCTCGCTTCTAACAATCGGGAAATATCTTTCCACAAATTTCCAGAAAAAGAAAAATGTACAGTGGAAGTTACAAATAAGTTCGGCACAATGGAAAAAATTGATAAGCGTAAGGCTTGGATAATGGCTATACACACTGGAAAAGCGGTGACAAGCAGAACGAAAATTTGCTCCTTACATTTTAGTGCTAGCGACTACGTTTTCTCAGGTACTTTCTGTTCAATTTTGTTTACGTTGTTTATATAAATATGTATATAAAAATGCAATTAAAGTTATACATTTTTTTATTAATTTTTCTTAGAGCTAGAATATCAAAGGCCACGTCTAAAAAAATCTGCTTCCAACACTTCAACTTCCCATGCAAAAGATCGTTTCTACTGCTTCAAAAGCCAGGGCTGAACGAGTTGCAAAACGAGAAGCGAAAAAAGCAAACAAAAAGGAGAAAGAAGAAACAGTGAAAGATACAGACGAGGCTGTTGCCATCGATATCAATGAAGTTGGAGTTGACAGCACGGGAAACAATGAGACGTTATTAATTGCAGATGAGGAGAAAACTAAAGTTAGGGACATCGATGTTCAAACGGATTTCTATTCTTCATATTATGATCAAATAAAAAGAGATCGTGAACTAAGTACAGCTACAGGAATTCCTAATTTTGAAATATTTCATGTAATAGTGAGTAATGTAAAAAAACTGTACAACAATGCTAAGAGTAAGTTATCAGTAGAGGAAAAAGTGATGCTGACATTTATTAAATTAAAACAAAATATTTCATTTGCTTTTTTGAGCACTTTGTTCAATTGCTATTCTGTAAAAACGTGTCGAAGAATTTTTGTAAACATGATTAGAGTACTGCGTGCATGTTTCGACAGCTGCATACATTGGCCCTCAAGACAAGAGATCCGTAGAAATATTCCAAACTGTTTCCTTCCATTTCCTGATATTCGCATAATATTAAATTGTACGGAAATACTTTTGCAAAAACCTAAATCTGTATGCTGTCAAGCGATAACATACTCTAATTATAAATCAAACTATACTTTAAAGTTCATGACAGGTGTTACACCAGCTGGAACAATTTCATTCGTAAGTCGTTGCTATGGAGGTCGATTTTCGGACAAAGCAATTTTTGAACAAAGCAACTTGTTTAGTTTGCTAGAAAAATATGATAGAATAATGATTGATAGAGGATTTTTTATAGATACACAATGCAAAGAACATGATATTCAAATCGTTAGGCCTCCATTCTTAAAAAATAAGAGTCAGTTATCAGCAGAAGAAGCACTTCTTAGCCAACAAATAGCAAAAGCGAGAGTTCATATTGAACGCAGTAATCAGAGGCTGAAAGTATTTAATATTTTGAAAGGTAGATTTCCCATTAGTTTGATACATCTTTATGAAGATATTTTTATAATTATTTGTGGTCTTGTAAACGTATGTTTACCTATTTTAAACGACGATAAGTTTCCTGTGTAAAAATAAATGTTTACATACTACAAATAAATTGATACAAATGTTTGAAACAAGAATCATTTATTATTTTTTTCGTACGTACATACAAAATGCAGCATTTGCTGGAAATAAACATGTTTTAAGGTATATACTAAATCAGTCACATATTCTTCGTCAACCGGAACAGGAATGACTAAATAAGTTTTGTCAAAGGATGCAAAAATCATAAAATCAGTAACTTGAACATTAATTATAGCCATGCATAATTGAACTTGCGCGTAGTACATGTGGCGTTTTTTAAAAGTACAATTTTCATCGAGATATTTTAACTTCGGAACCACATCGTCAATGTTATGATCTTTTCCATAAAAGGGACATTTTATTTCAATTAATTTTAATACATTTCCATTTTCGTCCAAAATAACACCATCTGGTGAACATGCCAACCACGGATTCTTATTAGAAACTACCAAGCCACATTGGTGCACTTTCAGTTGATAACTATTCTCATATACTTCGCGAGCAATTGGTTCGTTTTGTATTTCGTGTTGTACATATTTATTGGAGTGTTCTTTTGGATAAAAATAATTTAAACTTTTTCTTTCCCAGTTGGGTTTCTTATTATTCGCGTATGTGTACAACTCATAACACCGAGAACTTGTGATTCTAAATTTACGCTCTTCTTTCCATGTGACAAATGATCTTACACTATCTATGCAAATCTGTCTGTAATCTCCACGTAGTCTATGTGTTGTGTTTTGACAGCACTCTTTAAGGGTCCCTACATCTAATTTTGATAAGTTTTTCATAAATTCTGAAGTATTTGTTCGGCTTATAATTGCGTCTATATTATTCGTGCAATCGTGGGAGACACTGTTATCATGCAGTTCTATTTCATCATGTCTTCCATACCTAATTAAACATAAAATAAATAAATAATAATAGCAATGTATAAAAAATAATAATAATTTATTCCTTCGTATCTATAATTAAATGTATAAAAACAAATTGTAAAAAAAATTGTACAATCACTTTTTATTGAAATTCATTCACATATAGGTTATATACAGTAAATTCATTCGTATAATTAAATGTATAAAAATAAATTGATAAAAAAATGGTGTACAATGATAACAACTCTAGACCAACTTACAAATGTTTTTTCATAGCGCTTGATGAGACTGAAAGCCAATTTTGATTTATCTCCTCCCTTTTTTCTGCAGACACATTAACTACTTCGGTTTTTATTTTTTGCATGCAAGGGTGATCCAGTAAAGGCATCGGTTCATACTATTGCAATGCTTCTTTGGTTTTTTTTTTCCAGGAGCACTCGACATCAGTGCATGACAGTTCGTCAAGCTTCGAAAGTTCGACTCTTAAAACATAAAAAGAAATGAAACATTAAAATAGAAAAAACTAAATTATGCATTAATTAATCATCTTAGAATAATTTCTTAAATTGCATGCGAATTGACAGTCATGTATGCGATAAACTGATTATATTTTAAAACTTTCTGTTCATTGAGGTTAGAAAAAATGTTAGTTGTTAAAATCATGAGTATATACTATAAATTTTACTTACACTACATGTATATCAAAAGCTTATTATTATAAAAAATTATAAGATTCAACTTACATAAAAAAAATTCATACCTTTGACAAAACATGAGTGCTGCAATAATATGTTTGCATTGTCCGCTGTTTCCTGCTTTGCAGGAGCAGCACATTTTACCGATTTCTCCACTAGTTGAGATACTTCCTTCAATTTTATGAGGAATTCCGCTTTTCAAGCTAGATGTTTGCAAACATCTAGCTATTAATTGTATCGATCCGTCTTTGATTTGCGGTAAACGACCACAAGATACGATGTGTCCAGCTTGTAGTAATTTTTCTCCTTCCACGATATTCCGAGACGACAGAGTCGAGTCTGCATATCTGCAGATTTCTAACAATGTTAGAAACATGATTCAGTTTTGCTGGGTTCACTTTACACTGATTTATGCTTTCTATATCGACAAAAATGCGTGAGCACACATGTGTCTCGCGTGCACTCGCGTGTTTACGATCCGTACTATGGCCGCCATATTGGCTAGCTGACGTCATCATGCCCGTTCCTAATAGTCTCTAGTCGGATTAGTTGCGTCGAGTAGGAGAACTGGTCATCGTGCGGATGCCAGCGCAGTCCAAGGATCAAGTGGCTCTCTCCTGGCAGCCACCACCGGGCTCGCGTTGAAGGCGATCCTCAGGAAGAACTTCGTCAAGTATCGAAGCCTCGTTTGCCGACTATTTTTTAAGCGGGAACCCGCCCGCCATGCAGATTTGCTCCAGCTGACGACGGATCTCCTTGGCCTTTGAAATTGAGTCCGCGCCGGATAGGATGTCGTCCATATAACTCTCCAGTAAAAGCGCAATAACTTCTAGCGGGAACTCAGCTCCATCGTCTTTGGCCAGCTGATAAAGCGTGCGGATCGCCAGGAACGCGGAGCAAGCGAGCCCGTACGTGAACGTGATTAGGATGAATTCCAGCAACACCTCGCTAGGACTTTTACGCCAAACTATGCGCTGCAGATCTCGGTCCTCCGGGTGGACTTTGATCTGCCGGTACATTTTTTCAATGTCCGCCGCGAAAATGAAGCGTTGACGCCGCCACCGGAGTAAGATCTCCGCCAAAGCCGGCAGCAAATTCGGCCCGGTGTGCAGATGGTTATTTAGAGTCACTCCCGACGGCAACGCAGACGAGCCGTTAAAGATGACTCGCAATTTCGTCGTCGCGCTAGACTCCTTCATCACTCCGTGGTGAGGCAAATAACAGACGGGCGTCTTCGTCGGATCGACCGGCGTCATATGCCCGAGCTCGGCGTACTGATGCATAAAGTCCGTATACAGCGCATGGAAGGAAGCATCCCACGCGAACTTCGCTTCCATGGCCTTCATTACGCGAACGGGCGCGTGGCGCGTACCGGAGAGATCCGGCATCGGCTCAATAACGGGGAGGCGCACGACGTAGCGTCCGTCGGGTTTACGCGAATAAGTGCGCACGAAGTGCGCTTCGCACTCTTGATCGGCCTTCGAGAGTGGCACAGCCGCCAACGGAACCTCCTCTTGCTCCCAGAATCGTCTCACTATCCGCGACTGATCGTCCTCGACACGGCACTGATATGATTGCGCGACGTGACTCGAAACAGTTTCCCCGATAGCACCGGACAGGATCAAGCCGAAATTTTTTATTAATTATTTATTGCCAAAATGGCGGCACCAGAGCCATTGCTCCAAATAAGTGCCTTTTTGCGGAAGGCATCTAACGGGCGGAATCGAAGCTTCTATAATTTCTGAGCTGGAACAAAAATTCAAAGATTTTTGAAAAATATATAAGTTTTTCTATAGAAGTACCTAGGAGAATTGCAAAATATCATTTTTTGTAAGAATGGTGCATGTTGGAAAAAAGTGCTTCATTTTTCGCTAAAAAATGTCGCACAAAATTGTTTATAAAAAAAGTTTTGTTCAACTTATCGCAAAATCCCTAGGTACTTTTAAAGATAATGTTATTGTAAAGTTTCACTCAAAATTTCAAGTCAATCGGATAAAAGGTGTTCGAGTTCTGATTCCGCCCGACTTTAAAAAAGCGATTTCGAGAAAAACGCGTTTAAAGTTTCAGTTTCACCATTCACAGATGTGAACGCGGCGGCAGACGGATTACGAAAAAGGGATAATAGAGATTTTTCCGAGCTTTGAAACCAAGTGTGCCTTATTTCTAAGACCTTAAAGCATCGTTTAACAAAAAAAATCGATTTTTTGAAAATTCTAGAGTGGCTTTACCCCTTAATATGTCCCACGCATCATAGTTCTCGACTGTTGTCGCGATATTTCGGACTAGTAATTCAGGTTCACCTTTTAAGCAAGTTTTGAGGTAGTGCAGTTTCTCAACTTGCGTCGTGGTCGTGTCCCGGCCGATGATGGAGTGGAAGAGGTCGCGGAACGACGGCCAGTCCTCGTATCTGCTCGAGAAGTGCGGCAGTTGAATCCGTGGTAGCGTGGTACGAGGGGTCGCCGTCGCCTCCGGAATCTCGGTTTTAGAGGCCTCCCTCGCTTTCTTATGTAATTTTTTAATTTGTATCAGCTGAAAAAGATCCTGTACGGTCGAAACGTCCCGTTCTACATATACTTGTGTTTAATAAACGAATTTTAATTTGACATCCACGTCTATGCTCGATTGTTGGCCTTTATTCTTACAGTTTATTTTGACACACGAGCGTTTACTTTATTTTATCCAAATATTACATGATTAATATCTTGTATGGGGTTGCCGCAGGGGCATGCCCCAGAGTCTATGTAGTTTTTTCTGGCTAAACTAAAGTTCAGATTATAATGTCCGCTACGCAATCTATTTACTAACACTATTTCTTTTCTTCTAAAAGGTTTTTTATAAAACCATGGTTTGTCCTTACTTGAATGAAAATGATTGTAAAAATGGACGCCTTTATGAGAACCGCGACGACGGAGGTATTCGCTAGTTAGCATACGCAATTTATGTTTAAATATAGAGTAGAAGTCACTGTGCGGTATTCGAAAGTCAGGAACGCCTCTTCTGGAAGCTTCTTTAGCTATCTTGTCCGCCATTTCATTACCTGAAATTCCTCGGTGTGATGGAATCCAGGCTAGCTGAAGAACGATATTACAGCGAGAAATTTGATAAATTTTCTCTTTAATACGGGGTATAATGTAGTTTTGCTGATTAGCAGCATTCGAGCATATATTCTCCAAAACACTTTTGGAGTCCGAAAAAATTACCGCTTTTTTAAGGTCCAGTTGTCCAATAACTAAGAGCGCTTGAAGGATGGCCCAAGCTTCAGCCGAGAAGATGGTCGTTTCTATTGGCAATTTGTGTTGCAGTTGAAAATCTAAATCGGGTGAGTACACGCCAGCTCCAACGTATCCAGATTCTTCTTTGGATCCGTCTGTGTAGAAGGAGATTGCGTTTCTTCTAAGATCTTGTGTACGTTCTAGGAAGACGGAGTTAACGTTCTGGATATCGATGGAAATGAACAGGAGTGTAGTTAATAATGTGAATTAAAGAATTGAAGCTGTAGTTAAAGACGGGGAGAAAAGTAGAGCAATATATTCTATCGGATTTGCCTAAGATGGACTGGAAGCATTTGTAGGAAGGAATGAGTTTGCAGGCTTTTTCATGTCGGCTGGGATGTCTGGTAGTGGTGATTAGGTCGTCCTGGCATTCACCGGACTGAATTCTTGACTAATATTCTTGACAACCAATTTAGAGGTGAGGTATAAAAATCTATACTGAAGCGGGGGTTCTTTGGCTTTATCTAGCAAAGTGTTGATAGGGGTGGATTGCCTATGTCCAAACGCCGTGCGGATGGCTTTATATTGTATTCGTTGTAGTTGCTCGAAGATAGTGAAGTTGCCATGGAGTGGGAAGACTTGACATCCGTAATCCATGTTGCTGCAAATGATGCCTCGGTAAATTGTCAGTAATTGTTGTGGATGTGCTCCCCACCATACTCCAGCCAAAGCCTTCAGGACGCTTAGTGCTCTTCTGCACTTTCCAATGATATATTTGAAGTGAGGCTTGCCACTGAGTTTGGAGTCTATCATAACTTTCAAAAATCTTACCACCTCGTTGTATTGCAGAGGATTGCCATTAATGATAAGGTCTGGCACGAAAAGGGGTATGTTATGTTTACGTGTAAAGATCGTTGCCTGCGATTTAATGGCAGAGAGGGAAAGGCCTTTGCTAACGAGGAAGTCCGTGATTTTCTGTATAGACTCGTTGGTACTTTGGATAGCTCTATGAAGGTTTTTGTTAGTAGAGTAAATGACCATATCGTTTGCATATAGAAGTATTTTGCAATCTTTGTTGATCAGCTTGACAATATCCTTAATGTAAATGTTGAATAACGTTGGACTAAGTATAGATCCTTGCGGTGTGCCTTTTCTGGCGAATTGGGGGCCGATTTTGCGGCCGTTATGGATGTAAAAAATGTGTCTGTGCCCTATAAGGTTGAAGATAAACTTACGGAAGTGGGCCGGAACTCCAGCGCGGTACAAATCCTCCATCAGCAAGTGAGGGAGCACGTTGTCAAAGGCTCCGTCGATATCCAGAAAAGTCGCCACTGTATATTCCCCTCTGAGAAATCCTGCTTTAATGTTATTGGTGAGAGCGATCACGTTATCCAGACAGACTTCGCGTTTCTAAATCCTAGTTGGGAATCCGCAAGAAGATCATTATGTTCAAGATGCCATCTTAGGCGGTTGTAGAGGCACTTCTCCATAACCTTAAGGACGCAGGAGATGAGTGAAATGGGTCTTACCCCTTTGCCACCGGATTTGGGAATAAAAATAACTAAGGATGTGGACCAATCCTCCGGAAAGGAACCGGATTGTAGAAGGCCGTTAAAGATTTCGCAGAACTTTTCTCAAAGGAACTTGGGAAATGCTGATAAAATATAATGGTCCAACTGATCTAGCCCTGGAGCTGAGTTCTTTTTCTTGGTAGAATTCAGAGCAGTGCGGATTTCCTCCATCGTAATAGGGTTATCTAGCCACGCTGCAAACTTTTCCGGCTTTATGGAGTCTTTCTTGAGCATTTCCGTGAAGGAAGGGTCTTCTTGAGAGCACGACGGTGGACAGAGTTTTGTTATGGCCGCATGTATCAACTTCTCTTTTTCCCGAATGTCGTTGTTGGAGCAAGTAGCGTGCTTGTGGTTTTTGAAAGATTTAACGAAACGCCATATTTGTCGAATAGGGGTTTTCATATCAAACCTTCCACATAGTTCTTTCCAGCTCTGAGCCTTTTGTTTTTTTAGGGTTCTTCTCGTAACAGCAATAGCTTTTTTGTATTTGAGCCAGTTCTCAAAAGAGTGGCACTTCTTGAATGCAGCTTCTTTACGTTCACTGATTGCTTTGTCGCAATCCTCGTTCCACTAGGGAGCAGGGAAACTTCTGCTTTTGGACGGAAAGCTAGAAGGGGAGATGTCTTTTTTCCCTAATGCTGATCCGATACAAGTTCTGATAATCTGAATCAGTTGGAAATATGCTTCTGTGGCGTTGTTAGAGTCAATGGATTCCACCTTGTTCTTTTCTTTGATTAGAAATGAAGTGAGCGTTTCGAGAGAATCCTTATTGAATTTGAGCTTATAGGCGAAGTTCAATTTGGGCATAACCGGGCAATTGATACGTATAATGATTGGAATATGATCACTGCTTCTCAGGTCGTTATTCTTTTCATAGTCGAGGATGCTGATAGCGGCTAAGTTAGGAGAAGCAATAGTTAGGTCTATGACCGAATTAACGTTGAAAGAGAAGTTGACGAATGTGGGAGTTCCGTCGTTCAATAAGGCAAGATCGTAGTCTGCAATAGTGGCAGGGATGATTTCACCGGCTTTGTCCGTTCTATTATCGTGCCAGTCCGGGTGATGTGCATTGAAATCACCAATAAGCAAAATGAACTTATATTGTTGAGCAAAGTTAAGAAGATTTTCGTAAAAACAGGCCGGAGTGTCTTGACCTGTATGGCGGTAAATATTACAAACGAATAGCTCCTGACCCTCGAATGGCACAGTGACCGCGACAAGCTCAACCGACGAATGAGCAAAACTCGAAACATCACAAATAGAAAAAGGGTAATTTTCTCGAATGAGGGTGCATACCTTTCTTGAGCCTACTGTGTCCGCATCAGATCTTACATTATTGAATCCCTTAATGTCTAGAGGTTTATTGTGAGTTAACAGGGTTTCTTGCAGGCAAATGATATCGAAATTGTGGGCAAAGGTCCTGATTTCCGTAATTTTGTTAGAAATGCCTCTGCAATTTCATTGGCAGATATTCGTGAAGCCTATGGCGGCGGAATTCTGTTTATTGTTCACGAAGGTTGATGGCGGGGATCGCATGATCGAGGGGGGGTTGAGCAGTTTGAAAGTGTAAATGAAAGGTCAAAGGTTGACAGTGCATACTTGAGC